TCATACAGAACAACCGACTGATCCCGTAGGAAATGGTACGCGTTTCGTATAGAGCATGGTATTTTGACCATGGCTATCGTCGGGATTGCCCTTCATGATTTTAGTCCAACCCACGCGTTGTGGCGTAATAGTGAATGAACGCTGGGTCCTAACATGCGGTCACTGCCTAATGTAAATATTGTGTTTCGGAAAGATTTATGTGTAACAATATTTACAATATTCTTATAACCAACTATCAATATTAACATCTAAGCTGCGCCGCAAACTGTACGGTGACTGACATCCGAGTATACGCGGGACTAATAAACCAAAGCGTTTCAAATCACGCCTACTATAAGAGCGGTGAGTATTACATAAATCCCACGTACGTCGCGAACAAATGGTTTCCCTATGATCTGGCGCTCATCCGACTCAACACTAGTATACCACTGGACGGGACGTCGGGATTGACGGGAATTAATGCCATTTGTTTGCCCGAAGAGAATGTGACAAATCTAGTCGAAGAATACGCCCTATTGAATGGGTTTGGCGTCGATAACGATAACGGGACGGGAAGTGGTGTACAACGCGTGGGTTGGACTAAAATCATGAAGGGCAATCCCGACGATAGCCATGGTCAAAATACCATGCTCTATACGAAACGCGTACCATTTCCTACGGGATCAGTCGGTTGTTCTGTATGATATATTTTGCATTTTAACTTTTTTAAAACTCTTATAAGTTATAACATAACTGTTGTATTTTGAAATTTATTTAAAACAATATTTAATTATTTGTCTAACAATTTATATAAAGTATTATGTATTATTTATACAATGTATATACAATTTATATATTTTGTCTGTCACTCATTTGGCAAAATAATGTTGGGCGCACTACCCCCGGAACCACCAGGGTGATTCTGGTTCACCCATTATACAGTATGTGAATGGTGTGACTGTACTCATTGGCATTCATGCTGGTAAACACGGCACAGGAAAGGCATGTATGGGCTTAGATCCAGATGATGAAGGATACGCTCCACGGGTTTCATATCACATGCAATGGATCGTCAATACTATCTATGATAACAATCACTAGAGTTGTCATATGTTTTACTTATATAATCTAAATAATTTTTTTAAATTTTGACAATTTTTATATTAATTTATTTATAATAAATTTATAAATATTATCTACATTTTACAGAAGTATTTTATGTATTAGGATAGTTCATTTATTTTATTTATTACTTTTAAAATATTAAAATGTGCAAGGTGTCATTATAAAATTTTAATTTGGAGATATCATGATTTATCTCTTACTTATTATATTTAAAATTTAACGTAGAGTTACAGCCTAACCCTATTACTATAATTTACTATAGTTGTTGTATATTTCTGGAAGCAGAAATATTACCAGAAATATATTCTGGTAATTGTAATATTAAAATGCTACTTATAATAATGCTACAAAAATAATATAATTGGAAATCAGTTTAGAGATGTACTTTTAAAATCGTATATTTCTGCTAATCAAAGTTATAGTATAGATATTAATCTAAATTAATTATTTAAAGTAAAAGCGAATTACTTACAGTTTATTTGGATTTATTTTTAAAATTATATTTATCATAATAAATGTAGCATTTAATAGTTAGAATTAATTTTTAAAATTTATTAAGATTTAATAGCACATAAATCAAATTGCGCGTATTATTTAACTAAACTATTGATAATTAATTAAATATTTACTATATTTGTATAAATAATTTATATTTTGTATTTACCAATTATTTGTAAAAACATTACTCTTTAGTTAAAACAATTTCATAAACAATCAGTGAATCTCAGATTGACTCAAACGCGATCTCAATCATCTAATAGTGATATAACATAACAAATAAGGTGATAAAATTTAACTAATGTTAGTTTCGTACTAGAACTTAGGATGTTATCTTTTTATTTATGCTGACATAAATCTAGTTTTTATTAAAAATTATAATTATTAATTGTTTAAATTACACATTCAAATAAATTATATAAATTATTAAAATAAGAGTGTATTAGGTACAGTTTATAAAATAAAATTTTGTTAAATTGTCAAATTTGATTTAACAATAATTTATCAGCTATTATAAAGTTATTTATTTGCAATATGCAATTTCATATTAAAATAATTTAAAATGTTCTCTCTCTTTCTCTTAGACCAATGCATAATAATTATTAATGTCTAATATGAATAATGTAAATTAAAATTGAAAAGAATACAGTTTTTAACTTAAATACATTTAAATATTTAATAATAGTACCAGCAGTCATATAATTAATAAATGACCTTGTTTAATTACAAATACATGATCTAACAATCAACAAATCCGTAATAATGCTCAAACATATTTACACCACACTTATTGAAAACAAGACTTAATTTTGGGAAAATACGATTTAGTTGTGGCGGACAAAGTTGAGGGAAACATATGACTTTTAATTGGGAAACACTGTATACATCTTTGAAATTAAATTTTAAGTAAGCATTTATTTTACGAAATATTATACTTTTATTTAAAATTTGAGATATATTTATTTATGATATAAGATATTTTAAATACTGTTTTGCATATTATTTAATATTAAAAATATACATTTTATTATAGATCAAGGATATTAATTTAATTATTATTAGACAAATGGATTCATTGAGTTGTACTATAATAATATGTACGAAATGTTTTCAATGATTGAATTAATGTTTTTATTTTAAACCATATACTTTTATTAATTCTAGTGTTTAGTCCTAGTAAGGGCTAAATTTACACTGAGTGTAAATTTCAATGTAAAAAATGACTGGTTATAATGCATTTTTTTTATTGCGCCCATACTAGGTTTAGTCTATGTATTGTTGGCTGCGATGGAAGTCATGCGAGAATTCATTTCTATCCAAATATAACGACTAACGGGTGTAGAGTCGGGAGGAGAGGGTATCTAATGGACAGCAAGTGCTTCACATACCATACATCTAGTGATACAATGTTTGCTGACATTCAAAACGGACGGGTAGTACAGCCCGGAGAGACGCCGTGGACTGTCTTAATCACAATTAGTAAAACTAGCGGGTTGGTCTTGATTTTACATAAAATATATATAAAGTATTTATATGTGTATTTTGCATGTGTATATATGTACTTTATTTATATATTCTTTACATACCTCTCTAATTCTCTCTCTCTCTCTCTCTCTCTCTCTCTCTCTGTCGGACCGGAATTAACGCCATTTGTTTGCCCGAAGCGAATGTGACAAATGTGGCCGAAGAGTACGCCCTATTGAATGGGTTCGGCAGAGATAACGATAACGGGACGGGAAGTGGTATTCAACGCGTGGGTTGGACTAAAATCACCAAGGGCAATCTCGACGATAGTCCGGGTCAAAATACCGTGCTTTATTGGCGGCGCGTCCCGTTCCCGACGGGAACAGCCAGTTGTATCGTATGCTATAATTTGCATTTTACCTTTTTTAAACACTCTTATACAATCGTTCAGAGGCTTCCGCACTACAAGTAGTTGCATATAGTGTATATAACCGTATAAAATGACATTATTTTGCTGGTGTTACTATGCCACATCAAGTTCAAATATGATTTATTTGAGTTTGTACTGGAATTTGTTTGTTTGAAAGTTTTAGGAGTAATGATTAATAATATGTAGGTAGTTTATTTATTAATTTAGAAAAATCATATTTGAACTTGATGGGGCATAGTATCACTCGGAAAATAATGCCATTTTATACGGTTATTACATTACACACTATATGTGAATACTTGTATTGCGGAAGGCTCTGAATAATTGCTCTTATACCATAACTTAAGTATTTTGAAATTTATTTAAAACACAATTTAACTATTTGTCTAACAATTAATATAACTATGTATGTATTACATCGCCGAACCATCAGGGTGATTCTGGTTCACCCATTATACAGTATGTGAATGGTGTGGCCGTACTAATTGGCATTCATTTTGGGACAAACACGGGAAAGGCATGTATGGGCTTAGAACCAGACTCTAAAGGATACGCTTCTCGTGTTTCATATCACATGCAATGGATTGTCAATACTATCTATGATAACAATCACTAGAGTTGTCATATGTTTTACTTATATAATCACAATAATTTTTTTTAATTTTTCAAATTTTTCAAATTTTTGTATTAATATTAGCATTTATCATAAATTAATAAATATTGTCTACATCTTGAAAAAGTATTTTATGTTCTTGTATAGTTTATTTATTTTTTATTTTATTTTTTGAATATTGAAATGTACAAAATGAATGCCAATAAGTACAGCCACACCATTCATATACTGTATAATGGGTGAACCAGAATCACCCTGGTGGTTCGGCGATGTAATACATACATAGTTATATTAATTGTTAGACAAATAGTTAAATTGTGTTCTAAATAAATTTCAAAATACTTAAGTAATGATAAAATGTAATTATAAAAAAATGTAATTTTAAAATTTTAATTTTGAGATATCAGATGTTTGATTATTAGAAATCATTTATTTATAATTATCAATAGTAGGCAATTGATCATCATTATTCTCACTTATGTTAACTAATACGGATGATAATCAATATAAATTATTTTTTTAACAAGATAATTTTTCATGTACAGTTTACAAATTGATAATTTTCTGTATTTAAACTATATAATTTTAAACAAACCCACTAATGTTAATAAAATAATGATTTTATAGTATTTAACTTATACATTTTTATCTACAATTCAGTATAAAAAATGTAGTTTATACATAATTATGAATTATCTATTACTTATCCTATTTGAATTTACATAGAATTAGAGTTTAATCCTGTGACTATATTTTACCATGCTTGTCGTATTTATTTAAATATATTTTTGGAAGCAAAAATATTATCTGAAACATATTTTATAAACATATAGCAAATATTGAATGTTGTTTAATTTTATAACAATTATTCCCAATTACATCTTATGCTAAAATTTTAAGTCATATTATTCATCTTTAAAATTTAATTTTGAGTTAACATTTATTTTTAAGAAATATTATACTTTTATTTAAAATTCGAGATATATTTAAATATGATATAAGATATTTCAAATAATGTATTGCATATAATTTAATACTAAAAATAAAAATTAATTTATAAAAATTTATAAAAAATTTTAAAAAAAATTAAGACTATTAATTTTGTTGTTATCAGACAAATGGATTCATTGATTTGTATCATAACAATAGGAGCTATACGTTCGAAATGTTTTTAATGACTGAATTAATATTTTTATTTTAAAATATAAAGTTTTAAATTATATTTTAAATTTTTTATATTAATTCTAGTGTTTAGTCTATATATTGATGGCTATAATGGAAATCATATGAAAATTCATTTCTACGACAATATCACTCATAGCGGGTGTGGAGTCGGGAGGAAAGGGTATCTAATGGCCAACACGTGCTTCACATACCATCCAAACAGTGATACAATGTTTGATAACATTCAAAACGGACGGGTAGTACAGCCCGGAGAGACGCCGTGGACTGTATTCATCAGAATTAGTCAACCTGGCGGGTTGGTCTCGATTTTATATATAATATAAATTACACGTATACTTTACATAACTCTCTCTCTCTCTCTCTCTCTCTCTCTCTC